GAATTTCTTTCATCTGAACACTCACCACCACTTTTGAGATAATGTAAAATAATTTTTGTCTATAATGGCCTAATTTAGAGTGTTTTTTGTTTGGTTATGGGGCTTCAACTTGGGACCTGGGCACTTTAGCTCTCAGCTCAAGGCGAGTGCTCTACCACTTTGAGCCACAATGCTGCTTCCAGTTTTCTGGTGGTTAACGGAAGAGTCTCATAGACATTTCTGCCTAGGCTGGCTTTGAACCATGATCCTCACATCTCAGCCTCCTGAGTATCTAGGACTATAGTTGTGAGCCACCAGTGCCTGGCTTTGTTTTGTTTTGTTTTTGTCGGTTATGGCACTCCAGGCCTGGACGCTGCCCTCAGCTCTTCAGCTCAAGGCTAGTGCTCTACCACTTGAGCCACAGCACCACTTCCAGTTTTCTTTTGTTGGTTGTGGGGCCTGAACTCTGGGATTGGACACTGTCCCTGAGCTCTTCAGCTCAAGGCAAGTGCTCTACCACTTAAGCCACAGTGCCTCTTTGATTTTCTGGTGGTTAATTGGAGATAAAAGTCTCATGGACTAGCCAGTCGCCAGTGGCTCACACCTGTAATCCTAGCTACACAAGAGGCTAAGATCTGAGGATTGAGGTTCAAAGCCAGGCCAGGCAAGGAAAGTCTGTGAGACGTATCTCTAATAAACCACCAGAAAACCACAAGTGGCACTGTGGCTCAAGTGATGGAGCACTTGCCTTGAGCTGAAGAGCTGAGGGACAGCGCCCAGCCCTACAACCAACAACAAAACAAAAAAGTATTCACGGACTTTCCTTACCCTGGCTGGCTTTGGACTGCGATTCTCAGATCTTAGCCTCCTGAAAGCTAGGATTACAGATGTGAGCCACCAGTGCCAGGCTCAGTGCCTGGCTTATGTTTTTAATGAATTCCAGCCTCAAGTGGGCAGATAATTCAACAAGGACATACCATGTTCTTTTCTGGAAAACCTGGCGTTATTGGAAGTGTTCGAGGTGGCAGGGAAGCAAGTGTAAAGACATGGAAGCTCCTACAGCAGCGTAACTGCCCCACAGTCAGGGAGAGCCGCGAGAGTCAGCCCGCAGAGCTTCCTCTTGCCACCCTGGCCTCCACCCTTGGGAACGGCTTTCTGCAGTAGCTTAGCATTGCTTCTAGAACCTCATGTTGCTCTGAGGCCTGTCCTCACGTCCAGCTGGTCCCTCCATGTGTGTTTACACAGCCAGGTTGCGTTGTAATAGTTGCGTGTGCTGAGCTGTGTGCCGTTGCAGATGAACCCTCGGCCATTTGTCCCCTTGTTTGTGGAAATTTGGCTTTCCGGTTTTGAATAAAACCATTTTTGTGTAGAAGTATTTGCTTGCAGGTCTTAATTGCTCAGAGGAATACCTACTGCTTTTATTGCTGAGTTACAAATATCCTAGTCTACTCGTGGCTGTAAGCTGAGTAAGCCGGATGCTTGCAGACCAGAGGAACTCCTCCCCCACCTGTGGTGGCTGGGGATGGAGATGGGCAGGAGGCAGGGCCGAGGTGTCTGGTGGGCCTCTTCCCTGGCAGTGAGGTCCAGCCTGGAACCTTGCATGGCAGAGGGCCCAGGGAACTTTCTCCTGCCTCTTAAAGCCCTTTGTGAGGGCTCTGTCTTCGTGGTCCTCCCCCTCCCAGAGGCCCACCTAGACTAGCGCCCTGGGAGCTAGGTGGGTTTGGGGATATGTATGTTCAGATGTAGTCCATTGGGATCTGTCTCTTTCTCATTTTAAAAGGAATCACCACACAACTGTCTGTGGTGCTGCCATTCTGTATCGCCTGTGTTGATGTGCTCCTGCTGCTTGTCCAGGCCACACAGTATTGCGTGTCTAAAAATTCTCTGCATTCTAGACTCTCCCTCCTTCCCCCTCCCCCTCCATCTCTATGTTCTTGAGTCCAGCCTCAAACTTGAGATCTTCTTGTCTTCACCTCCCATTTGCTGGAGTGGTGGAATATAGTGTGTGCGCGTGTGTGTGCGTGCGTGCGCACTTGCTCACACAAATGTACTTCCTGGTCCTAGGGTTTGAACTGAGCCTGGGCACTGTCCCTGAGTTTTCTTTCACTCAAGGCTAGCATTCTACCACTTGAGCACAGCACCACTTCCGGCTTTTTCTGTGTATGTGGTATTGAGGGATGGAACCCAGGGCTTCATGCATGTTAGGCAAGCACTCTGCCATAAGCCACATTCCCAGCCCTCCTTTTCTTTACATCTCATTTTCTCTTGTCCTTTATTGTGAATATTTTTTTCAGGATGGTCATTTGTCTTCTAACTTGTGGTGTAATTTAAAAATTTTCACATTAGTTTTTCTGTCTTTATAAAAATATTATGCCTTTGAATTTTCTTGTCTGAAATTATGTTTGTTTGTTTTTTTTTTGGGTCCGGTTATGGGGCCTGAACTCTGGGCCTGGGCGCTGTCCCTCAGCTCTTCAGCTCAAGGCTAGTGCTCTACCACTTGAGCCACAGTGCCACTTCTGGCTTTTTTCTTTTGTATGGTGCTAAGGAATTGAACCCAGGGCCTCAGGCATGCAAGGCAAACGCTCTACCACTGAGCCACCTTCCCAGCCCCTGAAATTATGTTTTTTGTTTTTGTCAGTTGTGGGGCTTGAACTCTGGGCTTGGGCACTGTCCATGCACTCTTTAGCTCAAGGAGAGCACTCTACTGTTTGAGCTACAGCACCACTTCCAGTTTTCTAGTGTTATATTAGAGATAAGAGTTTCATGGACTTTCCTGCCAGGCTGGCTTTGAACCGCAATCTCAGATCTCAGCCTCCTGAATAGCTAGGATTACAGACATGAGCCACCGGCGCCTGGCTGAAATTATGTTTTAAACTATAAAAAGCTAGCCAGGTGCTGGTGGCCTATGCCTATAATCTTACCAACTCAGGGGACTGAGATCTGAGGATTGAGGTTCAGTGCCACTTCTGGCAGGAAAATCTGTGACTCTAATCTCCAGTTAATTACCAAAATGCTGGAAGTGGAGGTGTAGCTCCAAACCAAAGCTCAGGGACAGTAGGTAGACCCTGGGTTTAAGCCCCAGGACCAGCACCAAAAGAAAACTTTATTTAAATTGATTTTCCCAAGTACTTTGCCACAGTGATGAAAAACTGACAAACACTGCTTGCAGAAATTTGGGCAATTATGAATAAGGTTGCTGTAAACATCTGTGTGGACCTAAGATTTCTTTGGTAAAAATACCAAGGAGTTCAGTTGCTGTATCTCATGGTAAGAGTATGTCTAGTTGGATCTTTTTTTTTTTTTTTGGTTGGTCGTGGGGCTTGAACTCAGCTTGGGCGCTGTCCCTCAGCTCTTCAGCTCAAGGCGAGTGCTCTACCACTCAAGCCACAGTGCCACTTCCAGTTTCCTAGTGGCTTATTGGAGATAAGAGTCTCACGGGGAGCTGGGAAGGTGGCTCAGTGGTAGAGCGCTTGTCTTGCATGCCTGAGGCCCTGGGTTCGATTCCTCAGCACCACGTAAGAAAAAAGCCGGAAGTGGCGCTGTGGCTCAAGTGGTAGAGTGCTAGCCTTGAGCTGAAGAGCTGAGGGACAGAGTTCAGGTCCCATGACCGGACCCAAAAAAAAAAAAAAGAGTCTCGGACTTTCCTGCCTGGGGTGGCTTTGAACCCCAATCCTCAGATCTCAGCCTCCTAAGTAACTAGGATTATAGGTGTGAGCCACCAGCACCTGGCTAGTTGGATTTTTGTTTTTTTGCCAGTCCTGGGGCTTGAACTCAGGTCCTGGGCACTGTCCCTGAGCTGCTTTTGCTCAAGGCTAGTGCTGTGCCACCAGAGCCACAGCACCACTTCCAGCTTTTTCTGTGTATGTGGTACTGAGGAATTGAACCCAGGGCTTCATGCATGCTAGGCAAGCACCCTACCACTGAGCCACCTTTCCAGCCCCAGAATCTAATTTTGTGAGAAACCTTCGAGCTGTGCTCCAAAGGTGTCAGTGATGAGTGCTCATCGGCGCTCAGTTCTCCAGGCCTACTTGGTGGTGATCTACAGTAGTCACCACAACTTAGTGTTTCTGCTCCAGCTTTTGATTAAATTTGCAAAGACACACTTTCTGTACTTGCTGGTGAGGTCCCTGTCTTCCCTTCCACACTGCAGGGGAGAGAAGGGGTTCTCTGTGGGCTGTGCAGCGGAGTGGGACTCAGACCAAGGCAGGAGATGCCACCCACATGGCAGTCCGCTTGGGGACACCCCTCCCAGACCCGAGGGCACGCAAGCTGGGGGCTGGGCACTGTGAAGGGGGAGGTGTGGCCCTCCAGGGCCAGCCACCACCCTGTGGCTCAGGGCTGTCAGACCTCAACTGAGGGACTCTGCACAAGAGCAGCAAAATTCCAGAGACCTCAAGAACCATGAAGGGACACGTGGAAACATCTGCACGTGTGCTTTCCCCACAATGCATTTCCTGCTTGCATGTAATGCGCTGCAGAAGAGCCTTCTGTTGGGGGACACACAGCCATCTATGGGGATACATGTGTCTACAAGGACACACTCAGCCACCCATGGGGACACAGACATCTCTGGAGACACCCTCACAGCTGTCTATGGGGACACACACGGCTGTCTTTAGGGTTTAGGGGCATTAAGTCTTCCACAGAGTCCCAGGCTAACAAGAGAGCAGGGCCCAGGTTAGATGCTGGCCATGGGGCCGACTCCGTTCTTGCACCTTTGTCTAAGTTGGAAATCGTATTTTCTAAGTTCCCGCAAAGCTCTCTGCAGGCTCAGCGGACAGCCCCTCCGCGGTGCTGGGGATTGCTCCCCTCTCGCGGGCCTCCCGCGCCGCACAGCCCCGGCTTCTCCGGCCCGGGCCCGAGGCAGGCCTGGCTCCCAGGGGTCGCGGGGACAGAGGAAAGGGACACCCAGTTGGGAGCTGGCGCGCAGGCGTCGTGCGGGTGCGGGTAGCCCTTTATTACCCCGGCCCGCACCCACCAGTCCGCGGCCCGCCGCTGCGCCGCACACTCAACTCGAGACAATGTTGACGGTCTTTCTGGGGCCCGGGGCGGCGGGCTCGCCCTGCGCGCCCTGCTCGCCCTGCGCGCCCTGCTCGCCCTGCTCGCCCTGCTCACCGTGCCGGGACAAGCTGGAGCGGCCGGACTTGGCAGAGGCGAGTGTGTCCTGTGAGGGCCATCGCAGGGAGGACCGTGTGGAGAACCGCGAGCCCTCGCGGGACTGCGCCACGGACGAGGTGTCCGAGCTCCCGGCCGACGGCGTCAGGGATGGGGTCAGCGACGGCATGTGGGAGCTCCGGCGGGACGGGGCTAGGGACTGGG